AACAACGGCCACTTTGTCGAAAGGCCTTTCTTCTGCACTGCAGGTGTGGACCTGTTGTCCGTGCCACCACACACATTGACCTGCACACAGTCGCGAACCCCGGCCTTGGGCCCATCGAGGTGGCCGAACGCCGCCATAGCAGCAAAAGACGCAAGGTACTCCGCCGAAGTGGATGCCCAGCTGGATTGACCATCTTCACGGAAAAGCAGTGGCAACTCCGAAGGCTTGACCTCAAGACTGAACCACTTAGCTCGCTTGGGATCCAAGCCGTTTTGAAGCGACCAACCGCCCAACACTATCCTGTTGTGCTCACACTTGGCGTCGGTGCGGAAGCTTTCCCTCGGGGCCAGCCACATTTGCCTCACCGTCTGCAAACCCCCCTACCTTTCTAAGCTCACCCCTGATATAAACCAAGGAGATGTGGACCATGGCCGGCATCCTGGCTACCGTACCCCGGTGCAACACTGCGTTGAATGAGAACAAGGGCGCCAAGAAAGGCCTGAGCCATGTCAACAAACGTCCAACGAAGTTGAGCCTCCCGAGGAACTCACTGAACCGCCTGCCGGTGACATACCATCCTGCGCCTTCCGCCTTGTCAATCCACTCTATGATCCAAGCCAGTCGCTTCTCTGAAACTCCAGCGCATGCCTTTTCATAAGAAAGGAAGAAGCCCACGAATTCAACGGCAACTCCACCTTTAAACTTATGGAAAGCGAAGGGCGTACCGACAAGGAGGTAGGCGCAGATGATTGTCCAAAGCGTTCTAAATTTTCCCGGGCCAACCACCACGACATGTAAATCATCCACGAAGATGACCTGCAGGTTGAACCCCGGACCAAGAACTCGGAGGACCCATCTGCCTACACACCCGAAAAGACGGGCCCATAAGATTGCCGCACTACTCACCCCGAACGTCCCCACGCAATTTAACCAAATCACTTTAGAGTCTGATCGGGCTTTGCACCCAAGCCTGGGCCAGTCCTTTCTACGGACCTTTGCGCGCCTGTGGGCCATAGCAATGTCTGCGCATATGCAGAACGGTGCTTCCCCCGCATCTGCAGCCTGTGCCACAACCTCTACAATGTCAGCTGGGCCTGGGTGCTCCAAACGATCCAATACTTTGATAGAGTTGTTAAGCCTGATACCGTGGGTACCATCGTGAAGAGGCCTGATCTGGCCTGACGGCTTGACCAGAGCCCCCATGGCAGCTATGAGCAACTGACCTTCGCCAAACTCTTGCTTGACTGCCCCTTCAGTGGTTGCAATCATCATGCCTGCACGCTCATCCTCGCGAAATTGCGCCTCCAGCTGATCTGCAGACAGTTCGGCAGAGGTATAGTTAATCATGCACGGATCAAACGGTGTCTCGTCAAGTTTCCTGTACTTGGACCTAGGTGCAAATACCTGCGGCGCACGCGGGAATGGCTTCTCGCATCCCAACGGCATGCCATTTGCATAACACTCCTCTCCTTGCGTGAGGATCTCCCAGTCCGGATCGCCCAGCACTCTCAGGGATTGAGCCAGCATGTGCAAGAAGAATGGCTGACCTGAAGGAACCTCCAGTGCCCCAGCAGGATCGTCAAGTGTGCCGGCCACCTCTCTCCTGAGCCGATCCATGTCCGCTTGGCTGAAAGGCGGCCCTTCCAATTTTCCTGTTGCAAGGCGAAACGATTCCCTGCGCACGTCCTTTATCTTTTCATCGTCGAACCTGCCAATGATTTCCCTGAGGCATCTGGCGTGCTCGGCCTCACTTTTGCTTCCAGCTTTTCCCTAGCAGCAGGAACCCACCTGCCCGGCGAACAGAGCCCAAAGCCGTCGGTGATCTGACGTTTGGACATCTCAAACCTGCAAACCATGGGCTGACCAAATGCTTTGCTGTGCCTGGGGTCAAACTCTTCCTCCGCTGCCCCGTCCTTCATTTCATCAT